ACCTTGAAGTGTAAACTTGTTTAATAAACCATATCTTTCATTTTCGATTTTTAATTCACGTAGTCCGGGAACTTTCCGGACAAACTGTGTACGTGTCTTTGTCCGCCACTTCTCGAGAGCACGCGTTGAAACGCACGAAGGACTTGAGCACTTGTTTTGTCTCGCAACAGTTTCACCCAGTGTTCACAGTTTTGGCTTCCTTACAGCATGCTAAAGCGGTGGAAGGGATGCGCACAACAGCAGCGAGTTTATGCAATTAGAACTCGCTACTGTGTTGTGCGCATTCCCTTTACCTCTTTAGCATGCTGTAAGGAAACTAAAACTGTGAACACTGGTTCCACCTACGCGAATTTGCTGAGCACTTTGATAATTGTCAATAGATAGCAATATCCGTCGTTATAGCTTCGCAAATTTCGCAATTCTATCAAATCAGCCTCCCAGAGATCGTCGATATTCGTCACGTTGTAATGCAGTCGGGGAAACTTTCGCCGCACGGGACGATGTAACGTGTAAGCATCTTGCGAACAAAGCCAGCGAACAACGTCCTCGCGCGAGTAATTCGGTTTAGCGGCTCGCGACAAATTTTCCGTCGAGGAGTACCCGACGTAATGCGCAGGATTATAATACATCCGGTCAAGCGTTTCGTTTACATTTCGTCCCACGTGAGCAGCCGTCTCGGAATCCCGATTCGTATCTTTTTCTTATTCTTGTCGGTGGCGCGGTAATCCCATCCTTCCTCTTCTTCTTCTTGTTCAATACTATGCGGAGATTTGCGCTTTGTTCTTTTTCCTCCTTTTCGCAAAAAGCGTAAATATTTAGGATTTCCCACGTATTGAAGAGGCGTGTTTATGTCGCGAAGTAAATGAGCGAAATGAATGGCCCCCAGTATTCCAGCGGTTTTTCTTTCTTGCATCGCATCGTTTACGATTCCACAATATTTGCTCCCACCAATTCTGGACTCTTGGTCACGATGCCGCGTTCGTTCCATGTGATCTTGACGGGAACAGCCGTTTCGATCAGATGATTCAAAAGCATTCGCGCTTTGGGGCGGTAAGTTTTTGGAATTGTTTCTATTATGTTTGTTATAGTTTTTCGTTCGCGAGAGCTCGTTGTGCTGTTGTTAAATGAAATATCTGCAAACGATACATTTTTTTTGGAGTTGACTGATTAATCCGTTGATATTGACCCTTATTATTATTGTGTCGTAATGGTGTTGACTAATGTTTTGGTAAAACAGAGGATGTTTGAGGCAAAACGTCCATTGGTTCTTCCGCGTTGTGAAATAGTTTTCTCATTTCCTCGTCCTCCTCTTCCTCTTCCCTTTCTTCACCAGTCATAGCAGTTGTTTCCGCCACGGATGGATCTTCTTCTTTGCGCTTTCTCGCTTTTCGGATAAAATACAGATATCGACNAAGTACTTCGCTGTACAATTTCCATTTTTCACCTTCATCAACAGGGGAATCGAGAATACGTCTCATCTCCGCGTCGAGACGCNAGAGCACGGTTCCGGGAGTACGTGTGGTATTAGCAGTGGTATTTTCCCCCGCCATTTGTTGTTGCATTCTTTCGAGATTATCCGTGGAAATCAGCACCATTTTTTTAGCCCGTTCCATGTTTACTNGATAATTCGAGATANTAAAGCTGTGAGTATGGGCCCGATGATGTACGGTAAAAAGCCTCCTTGTTGCACCAGCAGGTTTCTCTTGCACCTCCAAGTACCTCTTCGTTCCGCGATACGTCGCAGCGCCGTTTTGTATCGGATTAAGCGGTTCTTCTCTCTTTTTTCGAGCGGTACGTTACCTCTGAGCGTATTGTGGACACACTCGCAAATACACGCGATGAATTTGTTATCAGCGTTTCGCAGAAAAGCAGCGCGTTAATTTTTATTTAGAAGACACAGAGCTTTCAGTAGACAGATGTTTTTTTCACCGAGAGAGCGTTTAGCTCTAATATGCGCCTTTTGTTGCTTCTTCCGCTCCTTCGTCGGCATCGTAGCTTCGAATGATGCCCTTCCTTCGTGTGCTTCGGGTTTTTATACGCTTGTTTTCACGAGAGGGATCTGCGGGGTACGTACACGTAATGACGCGGATCGTTGGGAAAGATGCACGTTCGAAAACGATATTCGTCCGGTGTTGATTGTTTCAAATCGAGCAGTAAATAACCGTGAGGACGCAAAGTGGCGTCGTAGTACGCTTCTTCCAAAAACTTTGCGTCGTCAGGATAGACTTGACGCGCGAGATAGCGAATTTGCGCGCGATCGCGCGGGTTCTTGAAAACCACAATGTAATTCGCATTGAGCGAAATATCGCGTTGACCGCGTCCTTGATGAAAGAGATTCTGTGAAATAAGTATAACGCTAAGATTTTTATGATGGCTACCCTTGGTAAACAAATCAACGATCACTTCGCACGACGACGATTCTCGCAAAAAATCGTCGATTATTATTAATTTCGCACAAAGCGGGTCGTTCGAGTCATCTTCCGGGCGGGGTAGTCCTTCGCAAAATTCGATTTTACATTTTTCCATCTCGCGTTGCAACTCGAGATAGGCTTCTTGCCACTCGCCGTAATAAAATAAAATTCTCCCGAATTGAATATTCGCCATTTTTGGCAAATAACGGAGAAAAGTTTTTACAAAAATTGTTTTCCCGCATTCCGTAGGACCGCAAACAATCAACGTCCAGGGATGTTTCCAGCGCACGTCCATTTCGAAGACCGTGCAACTTGCCGCTTGTATAACTCTTAAATTAAACTGGTTTTGGTTTGCGACGATGAGCTCACCATCGCGCGTCGGGCCCCGCGGCGGCCGCGTTTTGCCGCAAAAATCAGCTAATTTTCGTCGCGGCAACGATAAGCTTATTCCGAATGATTAAAAAGCTGTTTTCATGAAAAATCAGCTTATTGTCGCGCGCGCAAAAATAAGCTCGTCAAACGCGCCCGCCAATATAAGCTTATAGCTTTTTGTTGAGGTTATATCAAAAAGTTTCTAAGGATAAAAGAAAACAGAGATCGGGAAAAACCAATCTTTTAATTTTGTTTTTAATAAAAATTTAATAACACTAAAATATTACGTTTTACAAAATGTGTACATATTGCTTAATCTACTAACATGTACAGAAAATCTCGCATTTTATAACCTTATTTTTACACACGATTGCTAAAGTAACTTATATATTTTTCTTTTATTGTACAAAGCGCTTGCTTACATTATGACTTATTTGGACGGAAAACATATACATATATATATACAATTTTAACTCTTAGTAATACGTTTAAAATATACAAACTATTTACAAGAGAATGCGCGGAAAAAAGTCTTATTCTAAGTAGCCGTATGGAACGGAGCGTCGCTCGTCGAT